ATAATTTTGTTTATAACCCTCCCAGGGCTATGCAACTGCCTCTCAATAAATATCAGCTAATGTCAATCCAATGGTAAAGTTTAAATACGTCGGGGGCGGGGGGTGGGTGTGTGTGTGTGTGTGTGTGTGTGTGTGTGTGTGTGTGTAGAAAAAGCTTGAAAAGCAGGCCTATGTTTTGGGGTGTTTATGCCACTTACATATGAATATTGAAGTCTTTTTTTTCCAGATGCTCAGATGTCTTGCCAAAAATGTGCTAAAACAAAATCATTTAGGGAATATGAGCTAGCCTAGAGATTAATAAAAGCTCCAACTTCACAGGCTTCCACAAATTATTATATGAAAACAACAGATAATTTTAAACTATCAAATATTTCAATATGTCTCTCTGTTTCTATGACATATTTATCCTATACAAAAGATTTGCTAAGGGAGTTACGATGTCCTTCTGGGACATAAAGAATAAGGTTTCTGTAAAAAATGTTAAACTAATGTTAATGGTGATGCAAAGTTGAGGAAAAGTTGTTAAGGGATGGCATGCTGCCACAGGGTGGGGTTTTGTTTTGGTATCCTTTTAGAGCCTGCAGGTGTTTGGCACCAGTTAAAATCAGGGCCAGCTGTGATATTTCAGTTCCGATATTTCCCTCCCAATAGTTCTCAGAAGTGATGCTTCAGGGTGATGTCTTACACCTGATGTATTCAACTTGTGTGGTACAAATGTGAAAACTCTGTTAAATAACACCAGTTTGGGGACACCCTTTGCCCCTCTTTCCCAAGGAGAGGTCACAGCACCAGGAGAAAGAAACACATTAATCAGAGATTTAGTCAAGTACATATAAGTGCGTATGTGTGTATAACTGAGTAGTTCATTCAAAGATAGTAATACACAAGAATCACCAAACATACACATACAGTCTTAAACAAAATACAAAAAGCAAGATAACACGTTCTGTTTTGATTCTCTTAGTTGATAATGATGCTTTTAAACCCTCACAGTGGTAGGATCCATAGCTATTTTTGCAGAAATTCTAATAGTTTCTATTAAAAGCTGCGTTTTCTTTTAAGTTTATTTGGATTGGAAAACCTCAAACCACAATGTATTTCATGCACATGTTCCCAAGAGTATGTTAAATAGGACCATACTGAGGTCATCTAATAAACTTTTTAAGAATTCCTTTAATGCACTGGACAATCTTGGCCTGATTAGAAGAAAATACTTTAAGAAAGCACTTGGAAAAACAACTATTAAGATCTATATGCAGATAATCTATACTCTAAAATGCAGAGTTTTCCACAATATATCATTGAGGGACAGAAACAATAAAACCACCACTAATAAAAGAGTTTTCAATCAAAACTTCTCAGAGCTATCAGTAAATACAGACCAACCGTACTCCCCATAATATTCCTGACAGACTTAACAGCAGGTGCCTATAGTATCATTTTAACTGTGCAAAGGTCTGTGGCATATAATCAGAGATGAAAGATAGAGAACCTTGCATCTATCCAAGAAAGAAAAATTATCTCCTGTTTTCGACAAGTCGAAAATGCAAGTTTTCTCCAAACATGAGAGAGTAATGAAGTCATTTAGTTTAGGAACAGTTCCTACCATCAAGTAAATTTTTTTGTCCACCAAGATGAAAAGGTAAACTGCAAATGAAATGTACACTTAAGAAGTAGGCCCATGGAAAATGCTCTCCTATTCTGTGATGCTTCTAAACCTTTTTTGTTTGTTTGTTTTTGTTTTGTTTTGTTTTTTGTTGAACATGCCTCCTTTCACTTCGTCAAAGTCTCACTTCCTGTGCCATGTTCCAGGCCTTGTACTTCACCCAAATCAATTTTCAGTTGAACTAGCAGCTGTGCTGGCACAGCACACATGGAGAACTAGGCCACAGGCGCCAGCAAGCGGTCCCACATCTGAACAGAAGTGGCTGGCTCCATGTGCCCACAGCCAAGAAACTCCACAGCTCATCGGGGGGTGGGGGCGGGGGAAGAGGGAGGGCACCTTAAGTGGAAGTTATATTTATTTTATGGAAAATGAATAATAAAAGTGCTTTCAATACTCAGAAATAGTGAATAGTTGAGACCTTCTTGTCACAGAGTTTGCAGATGAATTTTTTAAAGGACATTAGCTAGAGTACAATTTTAAGCTAATGATCTCCATCCCCACAGGTACACTGGACTTGCCTCTATCCACCAAACAAAGGTAAGTACAAGAAAGGGTTTGTTTTATCAAAAATCTAAGCATAAAGTACATCATCAAAACCAGAGTTACCACTGGTGACTGAGCATTTGCCAACTGACAATCCCTACAATGTGTCCTTTATTCATATTATCTCATTTAACACAACAATATATGTGTAAAGAAAAGATCCTATTTCACCGATTTACAGTTGACAAAACTGAAGCCTAGAAAGTTTATAAAACTGCCCATCAATTTTAATCCCATGGTCTTAATGATTATGTTATGTGTAGTCCCCTGAGCTTTTCAACAAAGGCTTTCCAGGCAGGCCCATGGAGGAGTGTGTCCTCCCCAACTCAGGGCATAAGTAGCCACTTGATCATTTGGATAAATCTATGCTTTGCAGAGAATCAACTCATTCATTTGCTGGTTCATGCAACAGCAGGTAGATATTGTGCACCTTCTATTTGTCAACTTTGAATTTATTTTTCTGAAAGGAAGAGAATTACCAAATTCATGCTAAATCTCTAGCACCTGGTACATTAGAGATAACAAAGGTTTCTGGAATAAACTTTCAAAATAGTCATTTTTAGGTGTCCTATTAAATTGTGTTTTTAAAACTAATTTATTTTACACAAATTTAAGAAAAACTCTCTGATTTTTTCATAGTCTACATTCCTTCAAAATTAAAAATTATATGGACTTCTTTCCAAAAGAGCCAAACATTTCCAAGCACAGGGGAGAGTGGCCTTGCCTTTTGTGCAAAAAAAGTCTTACTTAAAATTGCACAGTTATCTTTATTTTTAAAATGTAGTAATACTACATTGTTCTATAATCTTACTAAAAATCCAGATAAATTTTACACATACATTATAACATTAAATTCCAAAGAAGAATATAATGATATATAAAAGAAACCAACTCTACTCTTGCAACTAGTGTAAAATTGTAAGTAACAATCACTGTATGATTAAGAATTTTTGAGGTTAGAATCATAGCAATTAGAATCCAGCTTTTGGCGTGTAATAAGGCAGTTTTCAGAGGCTTTGGGGTTGAGGGAAATGCTGGAATCCTAGTTTAGGTAATATCAATCTTCTCCATTTGAAAAATGGGCTAAGTACTAAAAATATACCATAGGTCAATAATAGAAATTCCTTGCATATCAGAAAGAGTTGAGATACAAAGCTTAATAATTAAATTTAACTATAAGGGAAAATTCAGAATGAAAATTCAAATTTTCCTATATTTCATCTGCACCAGCCCATAAAGTGAACAATTTTAAGGTGATGGGTAGGGCCTTGGATCCTTGTTCCTCAAATCCTAAAAAGTAAGTAATGTTAGAATATACTTAATGGTTTTTTAAAATAACATTCTTCAATGATTTATCCTTGATGAAACACAGGTGTAACAACTAAAAATGCTGATAGGAGAACTCTCAAGAAATATCTCTAGAGAAGCATGCCCTCAAATTGAATTAAATGTAAAGTCCTACACACATTTCTATCACTCTTAAGCAGAAAAGTAACAATAAAAACCACCCATAATAGCTTAAAGTCAAAGATCTGCCTTATTCAAAGTTGTGAAGAAAAATGGTCATCTGGTCTTTTACAGAGTGTACAGACTGCTACTTTACCACAAGGAATCACAAGGTATTAATTAATTCATCAATTTGGTGGTGACCTTTTTCTGTAAACTCAATGATATCAAGTGGGCTCCTTCATTTCATATACTTATGTATCATTGGTTTATCACAGACAAAGCTTTGCCATACTCACAGTCTTTGCAGAAAAATAGCACAAGCAGAATTCCTGAATTAATTCACAGTTTCCCTCTAGTAAATATTGTAAATATTCAATTAAATACATTCAATTCCCTTTTAAATAGATATTCATGTAAGATAAAGGTACCAAAGGTAAGGGTTAGTTTAGTTTTTAACAAAGCTCTCCTCCCTTAAAAAATATATTCTGTTTTTAACAATTCATCTCAAAGAAAAATCTGCCACTACATAAATTAAAAGGATTTTTTAAAACCCTATAATTTTGAATGTTAAAGACTGACAAGATGTGTGAATTATCATAGTGAAACCTTCACAGAACAATAGAGTTCCTCTACCTTTTGGGATTAATATGTGATACTCCAAAATGATAATTTGCTTGCAGTGATATTGATTAAAGTAATAAAATCAAAACTTATTTTGACATTATCTAAAATAATCATTTGAACAATATTATAGAAGAAATATTTTTTTAGTTGACCCATTTTCCTGAGCCCCACAAAGGAGCCTATATCAAGGTAGAGCACAAATCTCTATTCAAGTACAATATATTCTTCATGAATAATGCACATTAATCAAAGCATATAAGAGCCTCTCATTTTTGCAGAATTAACTATACCTTACTTTGTACATTTTAAGATAGCCATATTATAAGAAGTGGACTATAACTGTGAAAGTTCTCATATTTCTTCTTACAGAGAGTGATCTCTGATTGTGATCTCTGATTGACCCCCAACATCTCAGTGGTCTATATTTATATTTTTCAGGAAAAACAAATGTGCTGACTTTGGAAATTTTATGTTGTGGCTCCTGAAGAAATACGTTAGGTCTGATAAACATAAAAGTCTGATTATAGACATCTTGTTCTAAATTCTAATTCTTTTTACTTCATACCTACTGCTTAACATAGTAAAAAAAAAAAATCATGCTATATGACTAAAGTGCAAGATCAATGGCTAATTTACATTTACATGAATCAATCTGGATAGAAAACAGAGGCAAATTGTTGTCTTAATCCTGGTGTAATAAAAACTTCAAAAAACAAACCTGGGGTTCTGCAAACACATTCTTCATATTGTTGATTGGGCCATATGGTACTCTACTGCCTTCAAAGAGGTGTAACCACTTGTTGGTCATTTCTTCTTCAAACCTAGAAACATACCAAAAATTTGTGGTTTTCTTATACTCTACAGAATGTAACACTTTTTTTGTCCCATGACCCTCTTTTGAAGCAACCAATAATGACAGTGTTTTCTAGTTATTTTGCTCCTAGTTTTGAGAGAATGTTGCCTATATAAAATGATTTGAGTTATACTGTAGTGGCAAAATAGTCACCCAGGTCCTATTGTTGAAAATCCATCATTAGAGATGTAATTCCTCCTATTTTTGTCCTTACTTACTTTTTGATAGAGATTCCCTTGGAGAAGAGAGATCATGTGGAAAATTGCATTAATTGAGTTTCAATCTGTCATTGAGCTTCTTACAAAAATTAATATAATAATATCGTTGTAATTTTGAGCATAATGTCATTGCACAAAGTATTTTTTAGGTCTCAGGTATATAGATCTGGTTAAAGATACTGATATACTATTTTATTTCTCAAAACAAAACATGAACCAATGTGGTTGTTTTAAAAGAAAGGTACATGTTTTATCACCATTATTTTTAAAGTACATAAGAATTAATAGTGCCTTGGCCAGTGTGACTCAGTTGGTTGAAGCATCACCCCATATACCAAGTGGCTGGGGGTTTGATTCCCAGTCAGAGCACATGCCTTGGTTGTGGGTTCATTCCCCAGTCAGGGCCCATATGGAAGGCAAACCAATCAATGTTTCTCTCTCACATTGATATTTCTCTCCTCTTCCTTCCTCTCTCTCTAAAATCAAAAAGCATAAAAAAAAGACCAGCCACACCCATTACTTAAAACAATCTTAGCTACTTATTTATCCTCATCAAAAGGAATGTAGGCATGTAAAGACTGATAGCTCAGTTTAGCCAACAACATTTGAATTCATTCAAGTCTTTTAGTTCTGTTTTAGTGTTACTCAAATTTAAAATGGGACTTCACAGATGTAAGTGCTTATTTGAGTTCCTTTATTTTCTCTATGAGGAAGGAAGGGAACCTAATTAATGAGATTGACTGTTTTACATTTCTTCTTTGTTAAGACAGAACAAAATCTTGGATCCTCAAAGATACTCATAGTTTGTAGTGTATAAAGAATTTTAGAATTGCTCATTGTTAAAATAGCAAATTATTTTTAAAGTAACAATCTAGATGAATAGAGTTTTTTGAGAGCATTAACTAATGTAGATTACTGGCAGCAAGTGAATTGCTTCACTAATATAAAAAGACTAGTGCAAATATAGCAGAAATATTTAGTATTCATGGACTTCCACTCAACTCTCTTATATATAGCTAGAATAAATCTCAGATCTGAAGACTTCATGGAAAATTATATTAGAGAAATGGGCCTCTTCTACTATTGAAAAAAGTATAAAAACTCTGTTAATACTTTGAGGACACTTCTCTGATTGTCATCTAGTAGATAAAAGAAAAAAAGAAAAAAGCTTGAACTAATGTATTCTCCAGAAGATACACTACTGCATGAATGGTAATGTTTATACATATTTTATATAAAATAATTTATCCTATTATTTTATGTAATTTTATATTAAAACTTCCATATAAGTAAGGATCTGATAAAAATTTTAATGACGGTAATGCTACATTTTATTAGGAATGTAATTAATCTTATTCATGTATCCACTTATCCTACAAACATCTAGAGTGTGCCTACTATATACCAGGCATTGATTATTGTCTTTAAATATAGTGCTTTCCCAATTCTTTACATTATGACAAATAAAAATTTTTCATTATACATTTTAATTGCAGCCTGTAATGTTATAATGATTATCCGTACTTAGTGTACAATAAAATACTTCACTTCTAGACATTGAAAAAGATTTCTTTATGGGAACACCACAATGCAGGATTAAGTGTTTTCCATTAATGGATTCTTCACATCCATATGTTCTTTTTAATGATGTTAAATCATCCCCTGGCCAAGACTTCTTAAGATATATATATTCCCAGAATGATAAATGTTGAAAGAATAAAAGAGATACTTAGAAAATGGAAGCTTTTCAATCACAGTGTCAATCATTTAAGTATTCATAAAAAGAGTATTGTAATGGTTAGTCTGCTAAATTTTCCAGACAAGTCAATTTATCACCATTGGACCCATCCAAGTGGCCTGAAAGATCTACACAGAAAATGTATGTCAATAATCAAACACACCCATAGCTTCATGCCTGCCAACAGAAAACTCAGGGGAATAGTTGAAGTTTTAGTATTTATATAAGCTTTTCACCACTGGGCAAAAGAGAGGGATTTATTTTATGTCATGGAAAACAATGGATGCACTTTGGAAATGACACTGGGGAGAGAGGCAGCATCTGGAGATTCAGTCGTGATCACTGTTTGTGTATTTGTGTGGGCGTGGGTATGGAATTATTCAAAAATGCCTTAAACTCAATCAGAAAGAGACTATCTCTGCATTCCACTGCTCCCAGAAGATACATTCATCATTTTCTTCTAAAAATCTATCTCTTGATCTAAATCTGATGTGGAATCCTTTCCTTTATCTATGTAAAAAAGAAAAAAGAGAAAGGTATTAGTGCCTGTTTTATTAGCCATGAAAATTCTGCTAAAAAAATGTAAACAGCTTATCTAAGTCACTCAGGGCAATCCAATCTTAAAAGTTAGATCAGGAGGGCATCTATAGATCCAGTTTAGTGAGCTCAAAGCTAGAGCTTCCCCTAGGAAACTCCATAAAGCAATTCAAACTTAATTGTGCACCTAATCAACCTCTCTATTTAGCTCTTGATTTTTTTTTATTTCACTTGATGCTGGATTGGGTATGGTTCATGTGACAGCATCATTTAGATATATGAAACACTGTTACATAAAGATGGACTTCAGTTTAAATTTCTTAATATCAAAATTTAATCTGAGGACAAAATGTCTGCGAGAATCCTGGAAGGGACTAGCAATCCAACACTGCCAGCCTCCCTCCCACTGTGCTCTGGGGATGATGGATATTCAAGGAGAACATGCTGAGGAATCTGGGTTTTACTCTAATAGATTGTTAGAAGAATAGACCTTCTTCAGAAAACTTCAAATAGAACTTCAAGTGCAGAGAAATTGTATTCTCGAGAGGATCCACGATGGCAGAGGAGTAAGCGGAAGCTACACTAACGTCCCAGAACCAACCTGGAATTACAACTAAATTGTATAAAAATCATCCTAGTACCCAACTGAACACTAGCTGGATAGATGCCTTATAACCAAGGACAGGTAGAAGAAAACACTTCACCACAACCTGACTTGCAGGGAGTGCAAAGGCAACATGAGTGGGCTGGCTGAACTCCCAAAGGTGGCAGCTGAAGTTCTGAAGGGATATTTCAGCAGCCAGGAGGGATTCCCCCTGAGAAGTGTGGGGTCTAAACCCCAAGCTGGGCTCCCCAGCCTACAGCACCAGAGCCAGAAAGGAAGGCAGATAACATCCAGCTGTGAAAAGCAGCAGAGGTTCTTTTAGCCAGGGAGATACAGGTAGAGACACAGACAGCCTCTCAACGGAACAAAGCACAAAATTTCATTTGCAGCCACTTACCATGGATGCTGGCAAAGAGGGGGCGGTGTGGACTAGAGACACTTGAGGAGAGACTGTGATTGGTGGCTCTGGGAAGAGAACTGAGGGAACAGCTGCCAGGATCCACATGCTGAGACATTCCCCATACTGCAAGCGAGATCTGTCTAAAGCAGAGTGCTTCTCTCTGAATGGTATTGGACAAGGGGAAAGCAACAGCACTGCCCTCAAGAATTACTCTGCTCCATCCTGTGGTGATTAAGTCAGACTGCTGATTACAGACTGGTTATATTAAAACTGACTGGTTTAATGGATGATTACTCTAACACCTAAGGTGAAAAACACAAAGAAGCAGCCAAAATGGGAAGACAAAGAAACAGACCCCAAATTAAAGAACGAGAGAATTTTCCAGGAGAAGTAGATGAAATGGAAGTAAGCAATTTATCAGATAGAGAATTTAGGGTAATGATTATAAAGATACTCAACAGTATGAAAAAAAAAACATAGAAACCATTAAAAAGGATCAGTCAAAAATAAACAATGCAATATCTGAGATAAATAATACACTGGAAGGAACAAATGGTAGGTTACATGATGCAGAGGCTCAAACCAGTTTTTTGGGAAACAAGGTAGAAAAAAACAATCTAGCAGAGCAGAAAACTTTTTTTTTTTTGTATGAGGAGAGCTTAAGAAACATTTTGGACAACATGAAGTATAACAACATCTGCATCATGGGAATACCAGGAGAAGAAAGTGAGCAAGGGATCAAGAACCTATCTGAAGAAATAACAACCAAAACTTCCCTAATCTGCTGAAGGAAAATGTTGCACAAGTCCAGGAAGGCCAGAGAGTCCCAAACAAGTTGGACCCAAAGAGGCTTACACCAAGACACATCATAATTTAAATGACAAGGCTTAAAGATCAAAACAGAATCCCAAAAGCTGCAAGAGAATAGCAGGTAGTTACTCACAAGGGAGCACCAATTAGACTGTCATTTGATTATTCATCAGAAACACTTCAGGCCAGAAAGCAGTGGCATGAAATATTCAAGGTGATGAAAAGCAAGGATCTACAGCCAAGGCTACTTTACCCAGCACGGCTATCATTTATAATCAAAGAAGAAACAAGGAGCTTCCCAGGCAAGAAAAAGCTAAAGGAGTTTGTTAACACCAAACCATACAGCAACAAATGTTAAAGGGCTTGGTTTTAAGAAGAAAAAATAAAAGAGAAAGAGAAAAAAAAAAAAAAACAGAGGAAAACAGTCCAACATAAAATAGCACTACATATGTATCTATCAATAATCACCTTAAATGTAAATGGCTTAAATGCTTAAACAAAAAGACAACAGGTAGCTGAATGGACAAGAAAACAAGACCCATATATGTGCTGCTGCCAAGAGAACCATCACAGATCAAAAGATACACACAGACTAAAAGTAAAGGGTTGGGAAAAGATATAACATGCAAATGGAAAAGAAAAAAAGCTGAGGTAGCAGTAC